ATACACACTCAGTTCAACATATTTTCTGACACATTTATTGTTCAACTATTAAAAATATAATATAATAAATATAATTGATTCAATTGATTCTTACATTTTGTATGTATGATCGTATTTTTAAATTTTTCTGTCTTTAATTTTAAATAAAATAATAATAATTTTTTAATAAATGTGTTATATAATGTATTGAATTGAATGTATATCAATTATTATCCTAAATTCTTTCATTCTTTAGTATTTATCTTGCCTCAACATGCATTCTTATCTCATTATGCATGACAATTTTAAGAACCTAGCTAGCTATCATTGTGTTGATCTCTTATGGTGTTGATTTGACCTCTCGCTGCAAACTCCATTATTCATCCCCTCTAAATTGTACATTTTAAGTTGGACATAATTCTTTTAACAAAAATATGAAAATCAAGATGTTCTAATGCTCAGGATGTCCAAACGCTCAGGATGTCCATTATAATCATCCATGAGTGGATTTTACCCCTGGGACTCACTCAATGAATGACTGTGATGGATATCCTGAGCACCAAAACGTCTTGATTTTCCAACTCTCCTTCTTTTAAACTCTTTCTTATTTCAAACTATCACTTGCTAAGTAACTAGAGTTTGCTTGCTTGCTTTGGATTGCTCAAAGATCCAGAGTGATAAAAGATCAAACCTTCAAGAGTTAAATTCATACTTTATTTTTTGTTATTTTTTTATTTTGATGATTTGAAAACCAAATGTGAATTAGAATATATTATTTATTGAATTGATTGGAGGTTGATTTACTTGTGAATATATGATTTATTCTTAGTAATATTGAATTAATTTTCAAATATTAAGTTTTGAATGTGTTTTCTTTTAGGTAAAAGTCCATAAATTTTCATGATTATATTTTCTTATTGTGGGGAGCGAAAAACAGAAAGTCCATTCTACAGTTGAGGTTACAACCCCTGGGACAGCGTTTGGAACCGTTGATGATTCTATTTTTTGAAGGTTTATGCAGAAAATTTTCCAAGTTCCAACCCCTGAAGGCAGGTTCCAACCCCTTGTTCCGGAACATTAATTTACCTACCATATTTGGACTATATGCATTCCAAAAAGGAGCTCCAACGGTAAAAACATTGATTCAGCACTCTCAAGCTATAAGAACCAAATCTGGAAGAGTGGAGAAGAATAAAGAATAAAGCCTTCAAGTTGAAAAACCAAGAATGATTAAGTTTGTACTTTGTACTTTGTGCTTTGTGCTTTGTGAAATCTCTTATTTTCTTGTTCTCTTTCATTGTAACAAGTGATAGAAGGATTGGGAAAATCTTATTAGATCTAGTAATCCATCCTCGAGGTATAGGAAGGATTGAGAGATTTGTGACAAGGGGATTAATGGTTCAATAGCACCCATAAGCTATTGGGTAACCTTGTTAGATCTAGAGAAAACCATCCTTGTGAGATAGGATTGTGTTTGTCAAAGATTGTGAGAAAGGGTTGAATTGTTGAAGGTGGATAGCATTGACAAAGCTATTGCAAATGGTTGCCTCTACACCCTGAAAGTAGGAGGAGAGATTCTAAATTCAAAACTAACTCTCAAGCAGGCGGCTTGAGAAGTGGACTAGGCATAAATTGTGACCGAACCACTATAAATCCTTTTGTTTGAGCTTTCTCTTCCCTTAACTTTTAATTTCTACACTTTAAATTAGTTGTTTGCAATTGTTTGTGCTTGTTCATTGTTTTGTTTTTTAAAGTTGCATAAAGTTTTTGAAAACCCAATTCACCCCCCTCTTAGGTTGCCATCTGGGCCAACATTTTCTTGGTTTTTTTTTTTTTTGGTCAATTATTAATTAGATAATTCCATAAAGGAAAATTTTTTCTACAATCTTTAAAATTATGTCGCCAACGATCTAAGTAGTTCAGTAGTTATCTCCTTTCAACAAAAATAATAGGTCTTGAGTTCAAGTCGCATAACATGCGGATAGGGTAGAGTAAGATAAGTAATAGGAGAAAGTTGCAATCCATTATGCAACTATCATAAAAAAAAAAAAAAAATCTACCATATTAATACCATAGAAAGGATAATTAGTTTATTTGTAATTTTCCTCTCTTTTTCCTGTGTTTATGGCATTTTTTTGTTTTGCCTTTGAAGTTCTTTATGGTATGCCTTCTAATTTTGCTATGTTTATGTAGCGCTGATCAAGGTTTTTGGGGTTGGAGTTTAAATAATGTCTTTTGAGAAAAGAAAAAGGAAGCATCAAATAGGGTTGTTTAGTAAAAAATTCATCATATTCTTAAAAAGGGTAATGATAGGTTAACCCAATTTATCCACACACTCTGTTACACCCTTCAATTTCCATTATTTTTCATTAATTACACTTAACTCGATTACCATCCTCTTCATCCATTATCTTCTTCCTTTTTCTTTCTTCTTCTTCTTTTTTCTCTCTCTTTCTCTCTCTCTCCTCCATCCTCCTCCTCCAAGAGAGCCCAAGTCTTATCCAGCAAAAATCACCCCCTAGAATGTTAACCATCATCATAGCCTCCACCTCCATCAGCCGTCATAACCAAAGCAGATCCGCGACCACCACCATCACCTCCGATCTCCATCTCCACCTCCACTTCAATGAGCAGCAACTCCATTTCCCAACAACTCCTTTACACCCCAAGAAGAAAAGCATTGAATTCATGAACTAGAGGACAAAACCAAACCAAACCCACTACAGCTCTACCACAAAATAGCATGGATCTTCGATAACCCAACACACAAAAATCAATCCCTAGGTGCAGTGAACTTTGAAGGAGAACCCAAATCGAGTTCCTACCAAGAGAACCCAAAAAAAAAAAAAAAAAAAAAAAAAGAGGAAGAAGATAATGGATGAAGAGGTCTTGCAGATGATTAGGATAAGGAGGGAGGTGAGGATGATTAGGATAAGAATGGAGGTGAGGAGGAAGATGGATTTGGTGAGGATCGAAAGGGTTAGGTGAGTCGAGAGACCATCAGTATATATAACGAAAACTATTAAAGTGTGTAACGAGAGTGTATAACGGGTGATGTACATGAATTAGCGTCCTTTTAAAAATTAGTTTGTTTATGTTAGGTTAGACTAACCACTAAAAAACATAAGTCAAATTAACTAGATTTTTTTCTCTATTTTTTACATTTTCATTAGTCTGTCAATAAACTTTCAAACAACAAAAGTAAGTAGAAAAGACAAATACTCAACCACAAGAATAACAGATCTTTAAAGGGGTAAAATGACCTTCTAGCACCAACTTTGTATCAATAATGATATGAAAGGTTCTATAGAATTTATGAGTTGGCTGTTTACTAAAAACTACATTGATCTATATAAGTTTTTGATGTTCTTACCCTTACATAGGTCCCCCATATAGTAAGAGAAAGACCCTTTCGGCTAATTTGTTTTCATTTGCTATTTGGGGAATTTTGTTATAGAGGAATGACTGGTTTTATGGGGATTTAGATTTTTAAGATTCTAAATGGCATCCTCTTAATATTGAAAAAGTGGTTGAATTTTGGTAGATTTTTCCTATTTAGTCTAAGGCATCTAATGGGCAACATAACTTGTTTTGCTAACCTTTGGATTTTGTTAAAATTATTGCTGATGGTGTTGCTTTAGGCAGCTTTGGACCTGCTGGTGGAGTGGGGATCTCCAGGGATCATTATGGCAATTGGATTATGGGGTATGCTAGGTATATAGGCATTATTAATGACTTAAGTGCTCAGCTTTGGGCCATACAGGATGGCCTTCAACTTGCTATTTCTAGGGTGTTTTCTAAGATTCTCAATTGACTAACTCTTTTTATGCTATTTAATTAATGTTTGCCAATGTCTCTGAGTCATTAAGTACAATTTGACCTTGGATTGAGAAGAACTGTATGTCATTTTGCTCAAGTTTAGCTGCATCATTAGAGAGAGCAATATGTGTACTAATCAACTTGCCAAGCTGGAAATGTCATTTTCTTCGATTTTTGTTGTTTTTGATAATTGCCCATCTCTTTTTTTGTAATATAATTTCATCTTTTTTACACCCCCCCCCAAAAAAAAGTACTTACGTTTTACTTCCCCAAGACATGATGTTTAACCACTTCTATTTCAAATCCCTAAATTATTTACACCTATGGTTTAATCTCTTCATGTGTCCAATCCAAGCAATTGGCTGTGCTCAACATTTTACGTTTGCTCTTGGATCTAAGCCATGTGAGACTTATGTGAGATAGAGGAAAGAGGCCAAATCCCCTATTTGTGCCCCCTATTTGTACTTTATAGATTTTTTTTTTGTCAACATTTTCAACAATTTTTATTTTCGATCAACACTTTTTATAATTTAAAATTTGTAAGAAGTCAAAAATTAATAATCAAACTTCTTATTTAAACTCTAATTTCATTAGTAATTTAAAGTTTTTTGCAAGTTTCAAATTATGCAAGTGTTGATTGGAAGTAAAAATTACAAAAGATGCTGATTGTGAAAAAAAATAATATGCATGGTGCAAATATAAAGTGTGACCTAAGAAATAAAAGATTTTAAGAATTAGTGTAGGAAATGAAAGAAATCTAAATATCATAAAAACATAGAAAAAAATAAAAAAAAATTAAAATTGAAAGAGAAATAGAAAGTTAGCAAGAATATATAAAGAATAATAGAGTATAAATTTAAAATAAAAAAACAGAAAAAATCATAAAAGATTAAAGTTTGACATCGAAGTTAGAAGAAAGAATAAACTTCTTTAGAAGAAATATACAAAGAAAAAAAAAATTAAAGGAATAAAACCATGAAGCTTTGGAGAGGATTTCAAGGAAAACCAATCTAGAAAAGAGATAGAGAAAAGGAAATCAGAGCTTGATACAGGGATGATCACCAAGATGATGTCTACCTTTTGAAACTAGAGCTGTTGATGAATTGATTAATTGAAGAAGGGAAAATGATTTCAATTTGTTGAGGCTGCCTTTGAAGTATTTTTTAATAAATTTATGTTTGTTCAATTTTACTTTGTTGAAATTGATGTGATTATTAAGTAATCTTGAATTGATACTTTTTATGTTACAATTATAAGAATTGAATCTTATTTTGAGGTTAAGGTGTTTTGAAAATCTAAATTAATATTTTTTGGTAAATTTTTGTTTCTCTATTCTATTTCAATATTTTTTGGTCATGTCTTCTACTAAATTATTATAAATGTTTTATTTTTTTTTGTACTAATCTTCTGATATTCGATAATCATATTAAATTTCGATTAATTTAGAATCAAATTGGGTCAGACCTCATAAATAGAGAAACTCTCCAAACGTTTATTTCTCTATTTATAAAACTCGAATTCAAAATCTTATTTAAGAGAAATCGAGTTCTTTCCACTCATACCAACAAGTTGTTGATATTATTATAAATGTTATATTTAGGGCAAAGAGACAATTAATAATTTTAAGTTATAAATTAAAAAATTATATTTATTATACTATTAACCTATGCAATAAAAACCCATTAATATATTATAGGTTATATGTTAAAAACATAACCATATAAATGTTGACCTCTATAAGATTTGAACCTGGTAGCTTCTCTCTCAATAGTAGATAAGACAACAAATCAGGAAAACCATTGCAAACTTATTGTTAATTGTCTCACAATATTGTATTTATTTTATTTATATTCAATTGAATAGACAATTTGAATAATTTAACTAATTAAACTAGTTAAATTAGGAATTTGACTCTCATTCGGTTTTCAAAACATTAATGGCATCCTCTAAAAATAGTGCATATCAATTTCTTTCAACTTTAAAAAGAAATAAAGTCGTAACTTTAAAATGCGTCATTTTATTTATTTAAAATTTAATTCAAAATTCAAAAATTCATTTTATTAAATGTTAATTCTTGCATTTTCTACAATTTCAACTAATAAACCTTAATATCTATATATAATATCTTAAATTTGTAAATGTTCAAAATATATACAAAAAGTGTTTTTAAGTAATGTGCAGTGTGATTTATAAATTTATTATAATATTTTTAATAAAATAATTTTATTAGAGATCTAAATTACATTTTTAAAATGCAGTCCAACTTGATTAACATATCTCTATATATATTGTATAACAACTCTATTTTACAGTCTGAACTGAACTATATCAAATTATAAAATAAAAACTATTAAATAGGAAAAAGCCCTTGATACCAAGGAGTCTAACTTAATTAAATAATTAATAAAATATAACTTAATACAATCTACATTATACTACCCTTTTTTCGTATCACTTTTTTTTATACTAATCTCTCGGTATTTGATAATTATATTGAGTTTCAATTAATCTGAAATCGAGTCACGTCAAATCCCATTTAAGAAAAGTTCTCCCAACGTCTGTTTCTCTATTTACAATATTCAAACTTGAGATTTTATTTAAGGGAAATCGAGCTCCTTCCACTCCTATCAAGAGATCGTTGGTTTTTCATACCATATTAATTAGCATAAAAAAATGGAGCTTAAGTTGTTAGGCCTGCCAATTTTCCTTCATTGGGCTTACATAAAGACCCGCTGACTTTATTGATTGAACTCAAGAGTCAAGACTCACAGACTCAAGGGTTGAAATTATTTGCCAGGCCGATGCCCAATTTAAACATTAAATGTAGTTTTACTTTTATACAGACCCATCCCAAAAGTCCACCATTGGGCTCAGAATCTACTATTAGAAACAAAGTTGTGCACTTCTTGGTTAGCTGCCAAGTAACAATGGCCTAGCTTTGACTTAGATTAGAGATTTAGAGACGTATTTTTTTAAATATGTAAAAGTTAGCTTAAGAATATCTTTATTGTCACAAAAAAAAAAAAGTTATTCACTTTATTTAATTTTAATAAATTAAAATTTTAATTTAAAATGTTTAAATTTAGTTGTTTAATTTTTTATAAAATATTATTTAATGTGTTTTTTATTATTATTTTTTAAAATAATTATAATATATATTAAATAAAATATTTATTTAAATAATAATTAATTAAAATAAATATAAAAATTAATTAATTAATTAATTATATCTTTATTTTATTAAAAAAATTAAGCCTACAGAAAGTAATAATATAACTAATTCATGTGCCTCTAGACCACCGAGTATATTGACCAAAATTTGAGTTCTTAAAAACTAAGACGTAATTTCTCATCAATCACCATATTCAATACTGAATCGTTGAATCCTCAACTAATTTGATTTTTCTTTTGGTAAACTTATCTGATTTGAGTTAAATAGTGAGGACTCGTATACAAAATTACCCAAATCTTTATTTTGAATAAAAAAAAAAAGGAAACACATTGCTTCTACGGATTATAAACTAGGTGGATTAAAGCTCCACGCCAAGCAATTAGAAGAAACTTAAATTGTCATTTTATTTTATTTTGATTGTTGGAAACGTTGAAAAATCTTTACCAAAGAAATATATATATATATATATACATATATGTATATATACTATGAGAATATCAATTGTGATATGCTCAAATTCTTGCGGCATATGCCATAAAAAAATAAATTCCCATCGCAGATTCTATTTTATTTTGGTTAAAATATTAATTTAATCCTTTGACTTTTCAATTTATGTTAAAATTATCTCTTAACTTCAAAAAATACTAAAATTGTCCCTAAAACTTTAATTTATAATACTAAAATAGACTCAAATAGTTCTTGAATTTTGAAGATAATACCAATTTAGTTCTTAAACTTTGAAAGTCA